AGGTCTCACCCAGTCCCGCTGCCTACTCAGGGACGCTGTGCCGTCCATGACCCTGCGCAGCCAGGTCTCACCCAGTCCCGCTGCCTACTCAGGGATGCTGTGCCGTCCATGACCCTCTACAGTCAGGTCTCACCCAGTCCCGCTGCCTACTCAGGGACGCTGTGCCGTCCATGACCCTGCGCAGCCAGGTCTCACCCAGTCCCACTGCCTACTCAGGGACGCTGTGCCGTCCATGACCCTGCGCAGCCAGGTCTCACCCAGTCCCACTGCCTACTCAGGGACGTTGTGCCGTCCATGACCCTGCGCAGCCAGGTCTTACCCAGTCCCGTTGTGACTCTGCACAGCCATGTCTCATCTGGAAACAATCCAGAGGCTTCCAGTGACCCTGTGGCCCCTGGTTCCCTTCACCATCCAACTCACTTCTGCCACTCTCAGCACAGTGGCCTGCTCAGCCCCACACCCCAGTGAAAACTGTTCTTGTCAAGTTTTCCAGTGACCTCCTAGTTGCCAAGTTCAACAAAACTTTTCATCCCTTCTCTGCCTTAGTTTCTCCAAAGTTTCTGATTAGGTTGAACTCCACATGGAATTCTATCACATGCCCCTTGGCTTCTGAGACATTTGCTTCCAGATTTTCATTAATTTCTCTGGCTGCTCCTTTCCAACCTCCTCTTTCTCTACTAATGTGAAAATGAATATTTCACGTTCCTTCTTTGAGCTCCTCTTATTCTATAAACTCCTGGAGATTCCATCTTGCCCTCTACCTCCTCATTCACACGAAGGTATGTACATCTTCAGCTCAGGGCCTATGATGCCTCAAATCCAACCCTCTCTGTCCCAACTGGCCTCCATCCCTGTGCTCCTGCCAGTCTACTTGTGGCTTTTCGGCCGTGTCCCCTCCATTCCCACTGCTGCTTTGCATTAGCACTGCCCCTTCTCAGCCACACTGCTGCAGCAGCCTCTCCCCCCACCATCTCTCTGCAGTCCAGGGCTCCTGCACCTTCCTACTGCTCCCTGTGGCAGTCTGCTGGGCCAAAGGTCTCCTCCATGCTCATTTTGGGATAGCCCATGATTATAATGGGAAATGAAAAAAATCTATGATTTCTTTTGGGCTTGTGGCCAACATTCAGAACTGGAGGACCTGCTAAATTTTAGTGAAAGGTTAGCAAACATAAAGATGCACCTTTTTCCTGTTCTAGTTCTGTGGTCTCGTGATTTCGATCTACAGACCCCAAGATAATCCATTTAATTCTAATGGTTCCTAATCTACTCTCTGCCTTGAAGCCCAAATAATATTCTTTTCAAAAAGCAAATCTAAACTTGCATCGGAAAATCAGGATCAAAGTAGTGACTCTTTCAACACGCCTCTTTCCCTCACACCTGGTCTCCTGAATGTCCCAGCCTCCTTTCTTCATGCTGTTTCTTTCATCTGAATCTTCCTTTTTTTCCTCCCATGTGGTAGGTAAAGAGTTCATCTTCTGCTCAGAAATTTCTTTCTTCTTTTTTTGAGACACTCTCTCTCTCTCACCTTGGGTAGAGTGCTGTGGCATCCTCTTAGCTCACAGTAACCTCAGTCTCTTGGGCTCCAGTGATCTTCCTGCCTCAGCCTCCTGAGTAGCTGGGACTACATGTGCTCACCACAACACCTGGTTAGTTTTTTCTATTTTTAGTAGAAATGGGGTTTCCCTCTTGCTCAGGCAGGTCTTGGACTCCTGAGTTCAAGCAATCCACCCAACTTGGCCTCCCAGAGTGCTAGAATTACAAGCATGAACCATCACTCCTGGTCCACCCAGAAGATTCTTAAACATTGGCAGCCCAGGAAGCAATGCAGGTGGGCTGACCCTGGTCGACCTGTAACAGTTCCAGGTTTGCCATCTGACTCCCATCCATCCTCTGAGACTCATTCTCAGCAGGACTTTCACAGGCAGCTCTCCTTGAGTCCTCAAGCTGATGCATGTGCCCTGCACACTCCTAGCCTGGCAGCCCTGGTATAAGCCTAGTGGCCCTTTCCATACTCTTATAAATGCCAGTCCTTGTCTGGGTCCCCACTGCACTGAGAGTCCCTTCAAGGAACATCACATTTGTTGCCAGATCCTCAGTATTTAGAAGAGGGTCTGACTTAGCAGTCTGCTGAAAGAATCACAGACTTGGGAAGTGACACAACATGGGCTCCACTGAGGAAGGATGTTTAACTTTTAGCAGAATTAAACTGTTTTGCATTTAAGTAGAAGAAGTAAAGACGGGGCTGTTACAGGGACTACATCAGCCCACGTGCGTTACTGCCTGGCCTATAAATGTTTAAGATGCTTCTGGGCAGAAGATGAACTCTACTTATCACCACCGGCTTCTAGGTTTGAAATTCTAGCTTTATTTGTTGATACTTAGTGACTCTCCTTGAGGTTTTATTTGTAGCAAACAATGTGTGGGTAGATACTATGTTCCTCTAAACCAAAGATGAAATGTTTTAAAACTGGCTTGCATCAATGACTATGCCTCCCTTCTCTAGTTACAGTTATGTATTTGAAAATATTTAGCTCCTCTCTCATACACGCATTTTAATATAGGTTTAAACACTCATCAGAGTGTCCTTACTCATTTCCCTTCCACTGCTGACCATGCAGGCTGAGGACTACACAGAGCACAATTAACATCCCACAGTGGACAGGACCTGAGACTGGGTCAGCTGTTCTGTCATTTGATGGGCCTGGTGTCCCTGGGCTGCTGGCTTCACACCACTTCTTGCTGGTAGAGCAGGGGAACCTGTGGGTACCTGCTATTTTCTTTTCTTTTTATTTTTTGAAACAGAGTCTCACTCTGTTGTGCCAGGTTAGAGTGCCATGGCATCAGCCTAGCTCACAGCAACTTCAGTCTCTTGGGCTTAAGTGATCCTCCAGCCTCAGCCTCCCGAGGAGCTGAGACTACAGGTGCCTGTCATGACACCTGGCTAGTTTTTTCCTATTTTTAAAAGAGATGGCATCTTGCTCAGGCTGATCTCGAATTCTTGAGCTCGAGGGATCCTCCCACTTTGGCCTCCCAGAGTGTTAGGATTACACTTGTGAGCCATGATGCCCAGCCTGGAAAGCTGTTTTCTTTTGGCAAGGTTTTCTAGAGCCCGTTTGAAAGAGGTCTCCTGGCTTGGTGCCAGCCACATATACCAAAGTTGGTGGGTTCAAACCCAGCCTGGGCCAGCTAAAAAACAATGACAACTGCAACAAAATAGCTGGGCATTGTGGTGGGCGGTTGTGGTCCCAGATACTTGGGAGGCTGAGGCAAGAGAATTGCTTAAGCCCAAGAGCTGGAGGTTGCTGTGAGCTGTGATGGCACAGCACTTTACCAAGGGCGACATAGTGAGACTCTGTCTCAAAAAAAAGAAAGAAAGAAAGAAAGAAGTCTCCTTTCTGGGCAACATTTTTCTTTCATGTCTTGGCCAATTCCTATAAGATTTTAATTACTTTATGGTTTGCCTCAAAATAGAGCCTACAACATAGATTATCAAACATATGCAGACCTTCCCTCCTTCCTCATGATCAAGGGGCTAGAGAAACTTTGAGAGATGATCTGAGCAGCAAACACTATGTAGGAAGTCACCTTACTTTTAAGGATTTCCAAGGAAGACACATACAGGAAAAGAGGGTTCTTATTATGTCTGATCTTCACTTCTTTGGCTGTGGTGTAAGACCTCAGAGGAGCCCCCAGACCTGGGTTCTCTTCCTGCCCTGGCACTAAATGGAACTGTGACCTGAAATGAACTGCTTTTGTGGGGCTGTTTCCTCTGGTATACATACGGAGACTAAAATTAATTAGACTTTTGGGCATGCGGTGAAGGTCTACAAGGAAAGCACGTGTACGCCTTTTCCTGAGATACCTGAGCCAGTCTGCTTTTGCTTTGTTCTTGTCTAGAATGATGTCAGCTCAGTCTGATGACAGCTCTGTGCTGGCTGGACTCTGATGGGGCTACATACAACCTTGTTTAATGCAAAATAGGAAAACGAGTGTTGCTTTTAAAATGCTGCTCAGCGGAGGCTGTGTCTCCTACTTGGGAGACGGAGAACCAGGGAAACAAGGGGCCCTGGGAAGAGGGCACTTTGTGTAGAGAGGCACCCCACTGCCTCTCTCCTTCCAGGAGCTGTGGCTCTGACCCTAACTGTGCCCCTCCCCATCTCTCCCAGGGTCGGGGTGGGGATGCTGGCAGGGTAGTACCTGTTCCAGGCGGCACTTGAGCATGGCCCACTCCACATCCCAGGCCGCCCTGTCGCTGGCATACTGCTGCTGCAGTCGCAGCCGGGCACGTTCGTCCTCTCGCAGCTCAGAGCGGAAGTCCTCCAACAAGGCCTTCAGGGCACTGAACAGCTGCTGATTTTCCGACACCTGTGGGAACACTGAGTCAGGCTCTGCCACCTGATTTCAGAGTGTTCTTTAGGTTGAAAGAAAGGACCTGGCATGAAGGTGATGCTGGGGCTGTTTCCCAGGTGTCACTGGCAGGGGACGCAGGGCGGAGCGGGGGAGGCTGCAGTTAGAGGGAGAGAACAAGGGGTCCCTGTTACTCCTAGTGCTGAGACTAATGGCCTGTTTCATCAGGAGGAAGGCTGCCCCTGGCCACTGGGCAGCTGCATTCACAGGCTCAGGCTGGCACCGTGGGAACCTGCAGCAGAGGTGTTCTGGGCTCCAGGAGAAGAAGTGAGGAAACTCTGGAGGTCATGGGAGCCCCCAAAGCCAGGCCTGCCAGGACTCTCTGTGACTTCAGGCATCCAGAGCTCTGAGTTGGGCTGACTGGACTATTGTGGGGATACTGATATGACGATATATACACTCACCCACATATATGCTATGTGTCTCTCCCATGCCAGCTATCGAGGTAGGAGAGAATAAAAGCTTGGGGACTTTTACACACACAAGGCAGTCATACTTTGACTTACAGTTACCAAGAGGCCATACATATGACAAGCGTGGCCTTTGGGGGTGGGGTGGGGCCTTTGATGTTTAATAATTAAAGACAAAGGTGAAATGCTAAACCTGTCCACGAAGGCTTTGTTGTGGTCCTCTGAGATGGAATTACCAGCGCCATCTCCCTGCCTCTCAGCGCCCTGCCTGTGCTCACTAACGGTGCAGGTGACTGTTGCCCCTGCTGGTTTCTCTTGTGGCTGCCCGACCTGTCAGCACTGTGAGCGCCTGGGGGAAACAAGCGTGCCACACCTGCACGTTTCAGTGGTCAGCACAACCCTAGGCTAATCTTCAGCATGCACATGTGCACTAAAGGAAGAATGGGTTTTTACTACTAACATGCTGCTACCTAACTTTAAAGATTTTATATTTTCTACCACCTGCCTAGCCCTTTAAAGGCATATTTCAAAGCCATGATTTCTATGTTTGCACATGTTGGCAAGGGTGTGATATTAGAAAGGTTTTCCCAAGTGAATGACACACGCTGAATCTCATGTAGGACTTGATAATAAAAGCCACGTGGGGATGCATCGTCCAGTCAGACAGCACTAAAAGCACCACAGGCTTCCAGGGCAGTCTCACTTGGGACATTCATGAAGCAGCTAGAATAAGCTCTACTCCAGGAAGAAAGAGGTTCACACTTCAGACAGAATCCTCTGCCCCCCCACACTTGGTAAACCTGTTCTGCCTGGTGCAGCAAGTGCACTGGGGACCCTGCACTGGGGTCCTGCCCACCTGTCAGCCTTCCCTCCTCAGTCATGCTGCAGAAACCATCTACTGTCTGGGCACAGTGGCTCATGGCTTTAAAGGGGAGGCCAAGGAAGGAGGATCACTTGAAGCTAGGGGTTTAAGACCAGCCTGAGCAACATAGTGAGATCTCATCTCTATAAAAAATGTTTTGTTTTTTTTTTTAAATTAGTGGGGTGCACCTATAGTCCTAGCTGCTCAGGAAGGCTGAAGGGGGAGGACTGCTTGAGCCCAGGAGTATGAGGTTATAGTAAGCTATGATGATGTCACTGTACTCTCCCCTGGGTGACAGAGTGATACCCTTTCTCTAAAAAAATAAAATAAAACCATCTAGTTAATCCACTAACCCTACACAAACATGGCTAAACATATGGGGGAAGAATTTAAGATATTTTGAATATGTATTTAGATTTAAATAAAGTTGGATTAGAGAAGAGAAATTCTTTAATATGACCAAATTATTGAAAACTCTATAGTTATCCCCATAATTTAATTGAGAAATTATAATGTTATCATAGATACAGGACACTCTTGATGGTGCAGAAAGGCCTATTTGTTAGCATCTATTGCTGTTTCATTTTTCTCACTTTGAATTCCAAAGTTTACTTTAATAACTGGGCCATAAGGCAGTAAGAACGGAATTCAGTTAATACTTGAGAAACTCAGCAGATTGGGAAGCATCTACAAATCTTACACATTCTTCTCAAATATCCAAATAATAAATTACCACTATACTCAGGGAGATGCTCACAAAATGTATGAAGCTGTAAAAAATGCAGAAGTTTTTAAAAATTTGACATCAAAGGTATCTAAAAATTATGTAAGAGCAATTGAGTGAGAAGAGGCATAACAACAATCTTTTTAGAAATACACATTTTCATGTAGAATTTACTGAAAAAATATGTATATTTATAGTAGATTTATTTGGTATTTTCATTTTGGGATTTTAAATTAAAAATCACTATTTTTTGAGTCAAGAGTATTTCAAGCATAAAATAACAGTAATAATTCTTTTTTTAGTTTTGAGACAGAGTCTCAAACTGTCACCCTGGGTAGAGTGCTGTTGTGTCATAGCTCACAGCAACCTCAAAGTCTTGGGCTCAAGCAATTCTCTTGCCTCAGCCTCCCAAGTAGCTGGGCCTACAGATGCCCACCACAATACCCGGTTGTTTTTTTGTTGCAGTTGTCTTTGTTGTTTTAGCAGGCCTGGAACCAGGTTTCAACCTGCCAGCGCTGGTGTATGTGGCCAGCGCCCTACCCACTTGAGCTATGGGTGCCGCCCAATACCAGTAATAATTCTGATCCACTCTTTGGAACAGTCATCTAATTTTCACAAAGAGAAAGCAGAAAACCATTTAACACGTTCTTATAGCTGGTTTGTTACAAAAGTTTTGAGATTCACAATACTCAAAAAATGTAAAACCCACACAGACAGAAAGAAATGAAGCCCTCCCAGCATCACCCATCAACAAAGCAAGCGGAAACTTGCATGGGCGAGTCAGAAAGGATGCTGTCAACTGTGTTTCTTGGAAATGAAATAATGAGCATAGTCTGTCTCAAAACTTTTATAGTGACCTATACATGTAATCAATAGCTTTCTATTAATCCCAAGTTGCAAATTGTATCAGCTTATGTTGTTCTTAGCCTATACATATGACTGCCAACAACATTAGAATCAGAATTTTACGGTCCTTTTGCAAGTTTGGTTTTTCTGGAAGCAGGTACTTTTCAGTATTAGCAGATACTAGATTGAATAAAATTAAGCCTTAATGTTTTCATGCACATTTTGGGCCAAGTAGGCAATGTGGGGTTCTTTTAACCAGAATAATATTAATTATCATGGAATGAGCTCCAGAATTGCTTTGGGCTGAAAGTGGCCAAAGGGAGCAAGAGAACTCAGAGGGAACTCATCTGCCACTCGTCTACAGAGTCACCCAGTCACAGGTGTGGCACGGCAGGAAGCCAGGCCAGCGTCGGCCAGTTGTGCACAGCAGTGAGAATGGAGGTCCATATCGATAGGCCTGATGAGCCACAGTGAGCAGGAATTCTCCTGAAAGACTTTAACATGCATGCAAAAAAACCTCAGTAGTGACTGTCACTAATACAGGCTGTTTCCTATGGGCTAAGGGTGTACTAAATTACTTGCCTATACGACCTTCTTTACATTTCACATCAGTATTGGATACTGTTATGCTCCCACTTTACAGAGGAGCAGCTGAGGGACAGCCAAGGCCCTGCTGTGCAAGAAGTGACAGCTTGAACTGCAGTCCAGGTCTGTCCCCTCCAAGGCCAGGCAGACAAAACCAGGAATATTCAAATTCTGATCTTATACTTGCTGAGTTTCTTTTTTTCTTTTTTTAACCTTTGCCTTAGAGAAGCCATCTAATCCTTGTGAAGCTAATAGCATCTTCCATATCACGGAAAATAACTACAGTGAGCTATCCGAAAGAACACCTACATGTTAACTTCTCTCTCCTTTTCTCCTGCCAGTACCCCTGCTGGGCTACGTTTCTGATTAACAGAAAAAAGGACCCACATCAAGTCAAGGAGTCAAATTAAGAATCTGGCCCATTTAGAGCTTTCTTTATCTTTTGTGCCAGGGGCCCAGCTATGCAACTTTTTAGCTTGTGCAATGGTTAAACTTAGGTCAGTTTCAACATGAAAACCCAACTTGTCAGTTTCTTCAGCATTCAGCTGGTTTATTTTCTCACAAACAGCTGGATAAAATAGCACCATTATCTCCTTCTCCTCCATCTGGGGCATTTCGGCCTTTGCTGCTCACCTCTCTTGAGCAAGGCTTTACACAGGGTGCTCGGTCAAACTTAATAACAGATTCAGAGTTGGGCTTCATGGCCCCAGACTGCTACCAAGTCTACAGTTAATGTTATTAATAGAAAGTGAAAAAGAAGTTTATGGATAAGGTAACATTGTGCTAAGATATTCATGATGCAATGCTGGCTATTTTCCACAACCGTTTTCTTGCCTGGAAAAGTTTCTAAGACATGTTTATCAGGTGAAATCACAGCTCTGTGAGGAGCTAAACCACTATCTACCCTGGGCTTGCATCAGAGCCACTACCTTTGGAGATAGGCTGAATTTAAAGAGGGGCATATACTGACCTGCTAAGTGACCCCCCAAAAGCCAGTCACGAATCAAAGGCGATGGCCTCCACCTGTTTATTTAGGCTATTTGATAGTGGCCGGGAGTTCTGGCTATAGCAGGTGTAGCTCTTATTTGAGATATAGCAGAGGTAGGCTCATGTGGCATTCAGCAACAGCACCTCCTCCACCAGCTGGCGTCTCTAGACAAAGCCTTTTTTGTGACACAAGTCAGAGATGATACATTGGAGTGTCCAGCAATATTTTTATACGTAAGCCATTTGTCATTCTTACCTTCATTGTTACATTTAGGTAAGTTTTAAGATTCTTTTCTAAAACTTTCCCCCTCACAGATAAAAGAGAATGGGCCATTGAAGATGGTCCTAAAAATATATGATAGACGTTAGATTCATTTATACACACAAGTCCATTGCTCTCTGGCCAAGACTATGCCATGTGACCCTATCCAGGAGGGCTCTGTGCTATAGTCTCCATAATCATCACTGAGACCTTCCCAAGAATGAATCTGGGCATGTGAAAGAATTAATGGGGCACATATTTAATAAATTACAAATATAGAGTTATCAGCCCAAAGGCTTATGGAACCAGGTACGGTTACGCACTCTGGAGGAACTCGGGTGCTGCTGACCCTGGGGAACTTTGGTAGGTAGGACAGGGGTGGAGAAAGTCCTTTCACTAAGAGTCCCCTCCAGACACTTTTTAAATCTCCTTCTGCATGTGCTCTCTTCAGAGTGATAGGAACCACAGCCATAATAAATACTCAGATAAGATAAGATGCATCATAGTCACAAGTTCTGGTCTGGTTTCTTTGGTATTAAGAGTAGCATGTCTCAATAGGAAAGCTGTACAGTTGTAGGGTCCAACTGAAACATAAATGCTATGTAGACTCAAGAAAAACACTTTAGGCCCGGCGCCTATGGCTCAAGCGGCTAAGGCGCCAGCCATATACACCTAAGGTGGTGGGTTCGAATC